AAAAAAAAAAAGTAAAAGTAGAAGAAACTAGTCAAGCATTGCAGTGGGCATGTGTAGTCCCAGCTACTCAGGAGGATCATTTGAGGCCAAGAATTTGAGGTTTCAGTGATCTATGATGATGCCACTGCACTCTACCAGGGCAACAGAGCAAAACTCTGTCTCAATTTAAAAGAAAAAAAAATTCAAATAAAAACAGAACAAAATAAGTAAAAAATATTAACAGTAGGTTTCTCTCAGAGCGTTTTTTTCCTAATCATTTTTTTGAGGGTAGGAAGAAGTACAAATGATTCCAGGTTGGGTGCAGTGGCTCATACCTATAATCCTAGCACTTTGGGAGACCAAGATGGGAGGATCACTTCAGGCCAGAAGTTGGAAATGCACCTGGCATGCAGTTGGAACAAGACTCCATCTCTACAATAAACAAAAGTAAGAAAAAGGGCCAGGCATGCTGGTGCACACCTGTGGGACCAGGAGGCTAAGGCAGGAGGATCCCTTGAGCCTAGGAGTTCAAGGTTGCAGTGAGCTATGACCATGTCATTGCATTCCAGCCTAAGTGACAGCAAAAAAATGTCTCAAAAAAAGAAAAAAAAAGTTATACTAGGCTAGAAAAATCTCTGAAAGTAAGAAACACCCAAACATCTGAAATCTCCATAGGGGCTAGCAAACATTTTCTGTAAAAGGCAGTAAATATTTAGGCAGTACAGGCCACAAAATGGCCTCTGTTGAAGATTATTTTTTATTTTTATTTTTTTACAGCTGTTTACAATGACTTGTAAAAGCCATTCTCATGTCGCAGGCTGTATACAGAAGGAGGTTGTGGACTCCTTCCCTGCCCAACAATTAGCACTACCTAGATTCTAACCAAGCCAAACGTTACCTACCAAATTTTGTCAGTATTCACCAGATATTTTACCAAAGAATGTAGCCTCACAAATGACACCATTAAAAAAAAAAACAAAAAAACAGAAGCAAAAGCAGCAGAGCAGAAGAAGGGGCGGCAGAGGAACGAGACAGCAGCAGCAGGGACGGTTTTATTAATCTCTGTAAAATGACGTCGTGTGTTGCACCTTCGTCTGGAGGCTGTGCCATAAAAGAGCTGTTAAATCCGCCCACATCGGGGTGCTCTTCCTGCTCCTCATTCTCAGTGTCACATTCGATGTCACTGTCACTACTCATTCCTGTCAGAAAAGAAGGGAAGAACATGTTTCTGAAAAGAAACCACTGTAAGTAAGAGGAAATGGATATATCCTATCTACCAAACTGAGATTTCTATTGCATGAAAAGAATTCAACAACTTAAACACCAACAAAATAAAGATCAAAGCAGCCAAACAAACCTCAAATCTCTTTAGGTATTTAGAGCAGTGGTTTTATTTTTGCTCTCAAAGTTAAAACTGCCCTTTCTATAGTACCTGAAAGTCATAATTTAAAATCAGTATTAATTTCATTATACTAAAAACATTTTTTCTACATCAGTTTCTTTGTAGAGTCATATGAGACAGAAATAACTCTTAATCCTAATTCATTGTAGATGTAATTATAGTCTCTAGCCTAAAACATAAAATTATATAAATACACATAGTACATGTGTATTAAAAATCCTGGCAATTCTAGCAATAAATTAGTTTCTATCCTATTTGGCCTCTAATTTTTTGTGTACAGCAGCTGAAATGCAAAGGAAAAAAAAATCTTTTCTTTTTTGAGACACAGTTCTACTTTGTTGCCCTCAAGTAGTTCCTCCAGGAGTTCCATGAAGTTATAGCTCACAGCAACCTCAAACTCTTGGGGCTCTAGCAATCCTCTTGCTTCAGCTTCCCGAGTAGCTGGGACTACAGGTGCATGCCACAATGCCCGGCTACTTTTTTTTTAGAGACAAGGTCTCATTCTTGCTCAGGCTGGGTGCACTGGCTCATGCCTATAATCCCAGCACTCTGGGGAGGCCAAGGCAGGTGCATTGCCTGATCTCAGGAGTTTGAGATCAGCCCAGGCAAGATCAAGACTCCATCTCTAAAAAATATCCGGGTGTTGTGGTGGGTGCCTGTAGTCCCAGCTACTCAGGAGGTTGAAGCAAGAGAATCTCGAGCCCAAAAGTTTGAGGTTGCTGTGAGCTATAACATCATGACATACAACTCTAGGACGACTGAGTGAGACTGTCTCAAAAACAAACAAACAAAACAAAACTCCTGAGCTTATGAAATCTGGCCTTGGCCTCCTAGAGTGCTAGGATTACAGGCAGGAGCCACTGTACCTGGCCTCTGCAAAGAAAAAATTCTATAAAAATGGTTTATTTCAGCAATATAGTATTTTCAGAAAACCTAAAAATATTTATAGTAAAAGGCTTATGAATAGCAAGTATAATTGTAAAACATCATCATAATGAATAGTCCCATTTAAAAGACAGAAGGGAAACCCACAGGTGTCAGAAAAGAAGAAGAATACTTCTACTGGGTTAGAGGCTACACTGCCGTGGAGAGCCTGATGCAAAGATTTTTAACACTGCACTGGAGACAGAAAAATAGACATACCACAGAAAGGGAGTTGAAACTGTGCCTAAAATTCCACACCCTGCATAAAGCTAAATTCCTTTGCATTTTTTAAAAATCAGAGATAGGGTCTTGTTTTGTACCCCAGGCTGAAGAACAGTGGCTTAATCATAACTCACTGCAACCCCAAACTCCTGGGCTCAAGTGATTCTCTAGCCTCTACCTCCCAGGTAGCTGAGACTATAGGTGTGGTGTACCACCATGCCCGGCTGGGTTCCCCCCACCCCCATTTTTTTGTAGAGGCAAGGTCTTGGTCTGTTGTCAAGCTAATCTTAAACTTTTAGCTTCAAGTGATCCTCCTACCTTGGCCTCCCAGTTATAGGAATGAGCCACCACCATGTTTGGCCATAAAATTCTTGTTGAAAGAATAGAAAAAACTGCCAACTAAAAAAGAAAAAAAGAAGAAGAAGAAGAAGAAGAGGAAGAAGAAGAAAGAAAGCAAGCGAGAGAGAGAAAGCAATTTTGTCTGTTTCTACTCAGCTCTATGAAAAGAGGAAAATGTCCTACCAAAATTTCAAAGTAAGGTCTATATACCAGATAGAAACTTGGGATTTAAAGTTCAGGTTAAAAATCTCAAGAAATTAACATAAAAATTATCCAGGAGCTAGCATTATTCAAATAAAGCAAATGTAAAATTCTCTCTAGAGGGAAGGTTCTAGTTAAGATGGAGTAAGCACATTCCACTGTCTTTCCCAATGAAAGCAGCAGTAAAACCAGGACAGATGCATGGCATAGCTAGTTAAGGATTCTGAAAAGTAAATAGGAACAGGTATATTGGTGAAGCCAGAATTTGAAGTACCAACAAATTGGCAGACCCACCAGAGATTAAAATCATAAAAATCATTAGGATACAATTCAAAATCACTCAGCATATGCAGAGCTGGGAAAAGACAACCAATCAACATCAATGCCTAAATGACATAGATGTTGGAACTATCTAACAAGGACTTTAAAAACGACATAAAATGCTCACAAGCCAGGAGTGATCACGTACACCTGACACCCCAGCTACTCAGGAGGCGGAGGCAGAAGGATCACTTAAACCTAGGTGTGTTAGAATCCATCCTGGGCAACATAGTGAGATCCCTATCTCAAAAAAAAAAAAAGGGGGGGGGATAGGAAATAATGGTCATATATGTTCTTGACACACATCTAAAGAAGCTTTCATGTTATAGAAAGTCATAGAACTCTCATTGGGGGAGAAGTCTCAAAAAAAGCATGCTCAAAATAAGGTAAATGATCCATGCAAAGCAAGAACCAGTATATACACAAATAGAAGGATAACACTATCAAATAGAATTTTTCATAAAATGGAACAACCTATAAAAGATTATACAACACTGCTAAACTTGGAAAGAGGCAGATTTTAAAATTAAATACTTTCTCTAGAAATGAAAGACAGGCACTAAAAATATTAATAGATTGTTTAGGCAAAGCTGAAAAAGAGATTAATAAAATTGTATAGCTGAAGAAATTAATGAGAATGCAAAAAATTGAGAAGAAAATTATAAATTATAAAAAAAGAGATTAAGAAACAAGGAGATAAAAGGGAATGGTCCAAATTATATCAAACAGACCACTATAGAAACAGCAAAAATAACAAAGAGAGGGATAACATATTAAAAAGAAGTCTGAGAATTTTCTAGAATTAGTAAAAATAGCCTGGAATGAATAAAAATAAAAAATACAACATAACAGAATTTTTGAAATGTAGCTGTAGCAGTGCTTAAAGGTAAATTTATAGCATATAATGCATAAATAGGCCTCAAATCAATAATTTAAGCTTCCCTTTTAAGAAACTAAAAAGGAGCAAATTAAAGTTTTAAAGCAAATAAAGAGGGAATAATGGGCCAGGTACGATGCCTCATTGCTGTAATACTAGTTATCTGGGAAGCTGAGGCAGGAGGATCGTTTGAGCTCAGGAGTTTAGACCAGCCTGAGCAAGAGCAAGAGCAAGACCCAGCCTCTAGTAAAAAAATTTAAAAAATTAGGCCAGGCACAGTGGCTCACACCTGTAATCCTAGCACTCTGGGAGACTGAGGTAGGTAGACTGCTTGAGCTCAGGAGTTTGAGACCAGCCTGAACAAAAGGGAGACTCATCTCTAGTAAAAATAGAAAAACCTAGCCAGGTGTTGGGGAGGGGGGGCGCCTGTCGTCCCAGCTACTCAGGAGGCTAAGGCAGGAGGATCATAGGTAAGTTATAACACCATAGCACTCTAGCCTGAAGCAACAGAGTGAGACTCTGTCTCAAAAAACAAAAACAAAAAAAAAACAAAGAAACCAAGAAAAATTAGCTGGATGCTGTAGCATATACCTATATATAGTCCTGGCTACTTGGGAGGCTGAGGCAGGGGATCCCTTGAGCCCAAGAGTTTGATACTGCACTCCAGCCTGGGCAACAGAGTAAGAATCTGTTTCAAGAGGGGTGGGGGAAATATTATGAGAACAGAAATAAACAAAACCAGCAGAACAACAGAAAAAACTGCAATGAAACTGGGTAGCACCTGTGGCTCAAAGGAGTAGGGCACCAGCCCCATATGCTGGAGGTGGCAGGTTCAAAACCAGCCCTGGCCAAAAACTGCAATGAAACTAAAAGGTAGTTCACTGGAAAGATCAATAATTCTGAAAGCCTCTAGACTAAGGACAGACTAAGAAAAAAGACAGCACATGAAATTTTCAATATTAGGAATGAAACAGGGGCATCACTACAGATTCTACAGACATTAACAGGATAAGGAAATTGTATGAAACATCATGGCTCCACATGACTTCATGGTCAATTTGACCACTTCTGTTTAATGTATGGATATTTCTGAAATCTTCTTCATCTTCAGCTAAGAAAAAAGAACTTTTCCTGCTTTAAGTAAAGAAGGGTGACACTTTTAATTAAAGAGACCAAGTCTAGCTACTTCTGTGAAGAGTCACTTCCATCTTGTGGCCCTTCGTGGAACTGTTTTCAATGTAGTTAAAGCTATGTTGAGTTCTTGGAGTTCTGGGTACAAATTTGACCTTTTGGAATTAGTGTTTCTGAATTCCTGAAAGATAATAACCCTCAGAATTAAAAAAAAACAACAGTGAATTAGAAATCTCTGGAATTTGCAAAATCTTTTTTAAAAAATTTATTCTTTAAATACTTTTCAAACTCTTTATTCATCTACATGACCATCTTAAAAAAAAAAGTTTAATTATGCCTGTAGTCCCAGCTACTTGGGAGACTGAGACAAGAAGATTGCTTAAGCCCAAGAGTTTGAGGTTGTTGTGAGCTGTGATGCCACAGCACTCTACCCAGGATGGCACTGTACCCAGAGCAACAGCTTGAAACTCTGTCTCAAAAAAAAAAAAAAAGTTTAATTAGTATTTATAAGAACCATGTCCAGACATGGTAGTATGCACCTATATGTAATCTTAGTATTTTGGGAGACCAAGGTAGAAGGATTACTTGACTGCAGCCTCAGGAATGTAACAAGACCTCATCTCTACAAAAAGCAAAAAAGTTAGTTGGTGGCATGGTTGTGTGGGCTCTCCTTACTGTAGTCCCTGCTACTCAGGAATCTGAGGCAGGAGGCTTACATGAGCCCAGGAGTTTGAAGTTGCAGTGAGGTATGACTGATACCACTGCACTCTAGCCCAGCCCAG